AGTTTTATTAAAAGTTAAAGAAAAAACTAAATTATTTTAGCAGCTCCCTTAAACGTACAACGTATTAAAACCAAACAAAACCACTTATTGTCACACAAACACAATTTCACCAAATGTGTTTATATTGTGACATGCAAACAGTAAAACTTACTGTTTTCATGGACCCAATCTCAATCTCTAATTGAAGCTGATGTTGAGTTATAAACTTGAAATTAAAAATAATGAAGCACCTTTCCCTGATCCAGTTTCATATTGTTTAAGAAGTTTTATTTAAATACAAATATTTTATGTGTAAACCACACATGTTATATTCTACAGATTATTGATAATTACTAAAAGTGTCAGAGATGGTGGGCCTGTGATCGGAAGGTCGCCGGTTCAACTCCCAGAACTGAAAGCATCAAAAAATGTGGGTGGAAAAGGTAAAACATCCACACCTGCCTCCACCCTCATTTGCCCCACTCAGGGCCCTTGAGCAAGGCACTTAACTCCCACCATCTGCTCCCCGGGGCACAGCTGCTCCCTGCTCCACACAGAGGGCTGTGGTAGCTCGGTGGTCTGTGTTTGTGTCAGGAAGGGCGTCCCGTGTTAAAACAATTGCCAAGTCTTTGTGCATAATTCGCTGAAGAAGGGAGCAGCCGAAAGAAGAAAATAGATAAATAAAGAAATAAACATGTCTTCCATCTAAAATAGGTTGTATATTGTAATCATTTTAAAATTATATATTTCTTTATTCAATGGAATCCCCTTTTAACTTGTGCTTTTTGTTATTATCTGCTTTTTGCTGCATTAATTTGTATTTAATTTTAAAGTCAACATATTCCCTTTCAGGAGACCAGATTGCTTTTAAAAAAAACACACTTGGTGACACCCAGGCAACTGGATTCAGGTTGATTAAACGTCATTAAACATCACAGAGTAGAGTTACATACATTGATTTGCAGCGTGAACAGATGTGGGATCACATGTTGCTATTTTTAATAGCTTCATTTTTCATGAGTGACAGGAAGGAGTTTAAAGTGAAAATGAAAACAATTGTTTTAATGTTCTGCCACTAGGTGGCGCCATTGGTTGTCAGCAAAAACAAGATGGTCAACAGGAAGACCACCCTACATTAAATGATTATTTGGGGATGGTGCATGGCCAGTTCAAGAAAGGCCACAACAAGAGTTGTTCTTAATGAGCGTTACACGTTTAATTTTGATGTTTAAAGGGACAATTCAGACATTTTGAAGCAGGGTTCAATGTGAAGTGTGATGCAGCAACAGAGTTGACAGGACTGACAAGGTAGTCAGAGCACAGCCAAGGCCAAAGGACTGGTTTTAAACAACTTCTGTCTGAAACTTTTCAAAGCATGAACGATACTTTCTGCCAGTTTTACATTACATTACATATTTATGTAATGGATTATGATATTTCTGCTGAAATATCCTGTAGGTTGCACCACAAGTGTATTTGTGTTTGCACATAACCACATAATTTCATGTAACAAAAAAAAAAACCCATAATGTAACAGAATGTAAAAGTTGATAAATTAGTGTTTTCATAAGTTGAATGGTTAAAACTGAACATGTTTAAAGACGGCAGACTTTGGTTTTGGTCAAAATTATTATTATTTTTTTTTCTTCTCGAAACTGAAGCCGTTTAGAGAGCTATCTACAACAGGTAAAATACTAATTGTTTGTATCATTTCTTCATTGCAAAAGATCTGAACTATCCCTTTAAGTGCAATTTTTACACCACTGTCAGTTTTGAATTACACACAATGGTGTTTCTGAGAGTCACCTCAGGGTGCACCAGAAATGCTACAGCTAGCTGCTATTTGGTGTGGCAACCATAAAACCCAGTTCACGACTGTGGAACCGACAGTTGTGCAGCTTTTGAAAACTATATTTGCATGAAGACGAGTTGTTCTAACTTGGTCTTAGTTGCGTTCGGACTATAAGGTGAATGTTGGGAGACGAGTTAGCTACTTTAAATTGCTGGAAAATGGTTAAACAAAGTGTAAATTGTCACTTGCGGTCTCACTAAATTCTCTTTGCGACCGAGCCGTGAGGCCGTGTTTTGGTTTGTTATGAGGGGCTAGGTGTTTTTTATTTTTTTATTCACAGCCTGTTTTCATGTGCATATCTTGCAAAGCTGCGTTTTTAGCTGTTCACATTATTTTGTTGCCCCCTCCTCAGCTACACACCTCGACAACAGCTTCCCATGTTTATGATTTAATTTATCGGTGGACACTTTAAATGAAGACGCGCACATTTGGTCCAGTTTTTATTATTTATCAAAGACTTGAGTTTCAATCCTGGACGTTTGCATGGGATGAGTTCAGTCTGAGGAGCTCTCTGGACTTTGTGGCTGTTTTTGAAAGAAAATTAATCAGCAATTTTTTTTGAACACGTTCAAAACTTGTGTGCAAACACTGCAAAGCAGACTTCCTCGTGGAAGCCATTTTATCTCTGTTGAACCCTTTTCCTTCTAACTGAAGCGGTTCAAAGATCCATCTACAACAGGTAAGATATTAACTGATCAATTTTCCACAAAACCCTCTTTAAAATGTCTGAACTGTCCTTTTAACTTTAGAAATTGGAGAAGACTCCGCTCACCGAGGAAGCAAATATTTGCACAGACAATTTCTATTTTCTCTTTTATATGCAGCCTGAGAATTGCAAAACAATAAAGCTTTAAAATTAAAGTTAGAACAACTGAATATTTCTGAATATTTAAAAAAAACGAGTGTCAAATATCATGGATAATCTGTGATTTCTGAGCTGAACCCAGATCAGGCTAATAAACAGTCTGAACTTTAATTATCTTGGTGGAATATTTGCTTGTTGCAGCAAAATTAATCTGGCAGTTCTGCAGCAGGCATGACTGACCGGACATAATAGAAGCCACTTGAGCTCGAGACAAACATCCTTATCATTTGATCCCTCATGCGGGCTCGAGCCGGCTGCTGCAGCCGCGTGGGGGCGTCCCGTCCAGGTACGATCACAGACGCGTCGTCGCCTTCCGTGCAATAAAACCGGGAGATGTGCGCATGAAGGCGCCAGGTGCGCAATAAGACGGAGCCATTGAGACAGTTCGTATCAGCTTTACACCTCAGCAGCGCCAGGCTCGCTACACATTAACCAGACCATCTACAAGTGGAGATATGGAGATGATAAACTCCTGACTCCAGGTGCAATAATAAGGGAGAGTCATTTTATGTATTTATTTATTTATTTTTGCGCCACTAGTAACTCCTCTGCGGTGGACTGACTGTAGGATGTCAGCGGTGTCATGTTCATGTAAGGCTTTTTCATGTGGCTGCAAAAGTGAAACCCGTTTTTTTTTTTTTTTGGAGGGGGGGTGGTAAAGGCATATTTACTCACATTAAGTGTGTTTTTACACAATTTCTAGAAGTTGCTTCTTCTTTTTAATTAGAAAGTCATTTTTAATTTGCCTGCCATAATTTGAGTCAAATATTGACCATATTTTTAATTGACAAGCTATTATTATTTTTAAGTTGTTAATTTGCAACTATCTCAGGATATTTTCGCGACTCAAGTGGGCTTTAAAATTATTTTATGGACAAAATAAGTCGCTAGCTTTAACACCCGACTTGTGCAATCTTCATTTTACTTCCTAAATGCGTCAAATTGGACAATTTCTTTTCCGTTTTGCGCATTTTTTTTTTTTTTGGCATAAATGCATGCGCACATTGAGAAACAGCATTTCAATATTTTTTTATTGAAACTTTCAAAAACACAATGTCGATGTTGTAAACTAGACAAAACTCCAATACAACATAAAACCCACAGACAACATAAGTAACACGACCAAAAAAAAAAAAAAAAAAAGAGAGAGAAACCTTCATATCTTTCGAGTATGCGACACTTTTACGATCAAGTTCGCAATTCTAAAACAGGGGGGTAAAAATCCACTTTGTCACACTTCAACGTCACTTCTCAAAAAATAAAAATAATAATAATAATAAACTTTTTTCTGTGTGTTTTCAAGCCATGGGTGCAGTGCGTTGTCGTCTTTTTTATTGAAACAGTAGCACTTCACACAAGGTCGAATGAAAATACAATGGCACCATGAGTGTGAATAACTGCAGAATATTTGGGAATTAAGGGGAAAAAGTCCATTTTCTTAAAGGGAATATAAATGCAGATGGCCAAAAAAAAAGAATAGTCCACAAAGTATTTTACATAGATATACTGAGAATAAATTAAGAACAAATCCCTAAAAAACAAACTACTCCGTCGTATTTACACGCAATAACAATATCAAATAATTACATAAATATTTTTATATATCCCTATTTACATCAATCAATACTACCTTTCATAGTTTTTAATATTTACTTTGAATTTCTGCTTCCCTTTGCCAGTTTTGGGTTAAATCCTGCAAGATTTGCGCCTCCGACATGCAGGAGCACCAGCCATTCTTGTATTTTTGTCCTCAAACGACGAGAAAGTCTCATTTTTAAAACTGAAACCTAATTTAAAAACGTCTGATGTCTATATACTTTTTAGTTTTACATTTTAGTGTTAAAAAACATAAAAAAAACGTTGGATTTGTATTTTTTTAGAGGCCATGCAAACAGTTGAAGAATGGATGAATTCAGGGAGGGTAAATAAAATACAGCAGAGTCTGTGAAGGTCCAATTCAGATGAGTCCAATTGGATTCAGAGTGCAGGTTTTATTGGATTTTTTTTAAAAGGTTCGTTTCTCCAACAGGAGACATCAGGACACAGCAGCAACTTTTCTGTAATCTGTGGAGAAGTCACACCCATGCCAGCAGTTCAGTTTCAATACTTGTACGGTATTCAAATGACAGAGAGGAGGAAATTAAGAATGTTTGTTTAATTTAACAAAAAAAAAAATTAAAAACAATTTAAAAAAAGAGGAAAGAAAGAAAGATGTGATTTAAACAAAGTGCATTTCAGAAACTAAAAAGTTCACGTTTTAGCTTTTGTTTTCATTAAAAAAAAAAAAAAAAAAAACCTGCATGAATCTGCCCACGCGTCCTCCTCTCACCAAAGTCTTCATCACTTCCGGCTCCACATTAAGGGGAGCTGCTCCTCGGCCTGTCCTGGTTCGAGTCCAACCCACTGACCAGGCGCTGGATGCTCTGCAGCTCGTTGGTTGAGTCCTTCTCCGCGCACGCTTTGGGGGACGCGGACACGGAGCCCGAGGAGATGGTGGATGAGTGGCTGGTCACCTCCGAGGTGGAGTCCAGGGTGACGGCGGACACGGGGCTGGCCGGGACCAGGCCGTCCGCCTTCAGCTCCCCACTAGCCATGGCGGTGGTGAGCAGGGTGCTGTCCGGCACCGTCATGGGGAGGGAGTACGGGCTGTACCTGAGTCGGGGGCGCACTGCGTTCAGGAAGGGGTGCCTGTGCACGGAGGAGGAGGCGGCGGAGGAGGCGGCTGCAGCTGCTGCCATGTACGTGTAAGGATAAGGGAACAAACTGCCAAACGGAGACATGGCGATGCCCTGCGGAGGAACACAGAAACCGAGTCAAACCGTGCGCTAAGACGCACCAACACTGGAACAAGCGCACCAGTTGCGATTAAAGCGCAAGCAATATAAAGCTCAATGTGTACGTTTCTGAGTGTTTTGTTTTCACAAATCATGGTCCAAGCAAAGAATCCCCCTGCAGCAAACCATTTGCCACCTAGAGCAGGTAAACAAACAACTCTTGCTGCGTGCTCAAGAATTTGAAATGCAAATAGTGATCCCGCGCCCCATCAGAGGAGAGAAGCTGCAGCCAGAACACTTGTTCCGACAAGAGTTGGGGGGATATAAGACATTTATTGCCCTTTAAAACAAACTTTTAGCCTCTTCTCTAAGCCAGAGGAGCGTTTTAACACAGCGAGCTCTAAAACACGAGCTTAATGAGCACACTGCACTTAAAGCTGTTCCGGTTCTCCAAGTTAGACGTTTTTAAAACAATTAATGGAACATATAAGAAAAAAGCCAGACGCTCAAGCAAAGCGCGCGCGCACTTTTAACTTGCCAGCTTTGATAGATGCATACATGCAGTGCGTGCTTAGAGCTCCAAGCAGCCTCTCCAAAACAAAACAGGTTTTACCTGCGATGCCAAGACATGTTGCTGCAGATGGAAGGGCAGGCCCGGCGCCCCCGTCAGGCTCTGCGGAGGGGATGCCATGCTGCTCGTGTCCATGCTGCTCACCCCTCCCGAGGACACCGCTGCCAGCAGGGGTCCCATGCCTGCCGCCATGTTGGTGAAAGCGCCCCCTATGTTGAACTGACCCGGGTGCAACAGAAACGGGTGCGCGCTCCCGAGGTGATTGAAAAACTGCTGTCCCGTTAGGCCCGGCGGAAACCCAAAGTTGTGCATGTGGTTGTGACCCATGTGCACGCTGTCAGTCTGAACTGTCAAGGGCAGGAAGCTGTCCTTGCTTATTGACCTGCTACATTCGTCCGACTTGGACTGGTCCAGGTTCGGGCTCTTCACGTCATCTCCGGAGCGCGTGGTGCTGGAGATGACGGTGATGGGACTCTGCCGCGAGTCCGCCTGGCTTTTCTCAGTCCTTGGGGCGCCGTCGCGCATCCTCCCGGAAGAGTCATTGGTGCCAAAGGGGTGGCCCTTAACTGGGCTCGCCTCGTGGTTCTTCCCGTCCCCTGTGGTGGTGGAGATCTTACTGGAGTCCGGACCGTCCTTGTTGTGTCCATCTTTGCTCTCGTCGTCGCTGTCCTCGTCGCTGTCACAGAAATCTAGGAGGAGGAGGAGGAACAGGATCAGTTCTGCTGACTCTCAGAGGGGGTGGGGGGATCAAAAATAAATGCGCACTACGAACGCACACTGCGTAAAATGGAGTTAAACATTGAAAAACCTTTTTATTGTATTTCCTCAAACTGCTCTAAAGCACGCTGGTGTCTAAAATGATTAGTGTCATCAATTACTGAGAATATATATATTTATTGCTCATTTTAATTAGAAAGGCGCTGAAAAACCAACCCCCCCCCCACGCCCCCACCTCGATTTTCCATGGCATGAAAGGGACAAAAATCCACGAAGTTTTCTGCTTTGTAAACACTACATAACGTCCCATTATGTTAATTTTATGACTTGTGATGAAAGCTGTGGGGTCTGTCGGGCTCTTTCTCTCTACCTTTCAGGTGTGGGGGGCCCACTGTGGACACCGCGGGGGAGGAGGCCTGCCCGAAGCACTTAAAGGAGGCCTGCTCGCCGGAGGAGTCGTCCGAAGCGCCGTTTTCCTTCTTCTGCTGCTCCTCGTAGGAGCGCATGGATTGCAGAGCCAGCTGTTTCCTGCGGCACACATGTGTCCAAGTTATTATAGGTGGCAGACACAGAGCTCAGGCCAGAAACAACGTCAGCAGCACGACAAATGACACAGACGCTTAAGTTAGGCGGTATTTGTATGAATTAGTGTGTTTAAATCGAAAGTGGGACAAGACAGACTCCCTGGGGGGTTAATGTGGAAGCTTAGAATCAGCTTTAATCCAGCATGATCACCCTTAGTCTCTATGTAAAAGATCCTAAATTCCGCCCCTTTCTAACCAAAACATATTTCCTTTATGGCTTACCTCTTTTCCCGTCTCCCATTTCCGGTGTCACGGAATCCTTTGGCAAAGGGGTTATGGTCAATTTTCAACTGGGTTATCTGAAATAAAATACGGAAGAATTTGACGTAATTTTTTAAATACTTCAGCGATTATTTAATTAAATTTGTATTAATTCAGAGACTAAAGTTAATATAGGGGATATTGATGAGGGTGAACAAAACGATAATGCGCAAAAATGCGTCAAACCACTCCAACCAGCAGCGCTCTCGCATTCATTCCCACTATAAACACGTGACCTGTTAAATATGTTGCCAAAATGTGACAAGGTCCAACAATGTGCTTACTCTGAATAACTATTTTATTTATTTTTTTTATTTTTTGGAGAAACAATTTTTGGTGTTATTTCTTTTTTAATGCTCTCTTTTTCTCTATTTCTCTCTTTAAATACACATGCACGCACACACGCGCACAGAATTGAGAATAAATCTGAGCTTGTGCCAAATCCTTTCCACGTGATTAAACAAATGAAAGATAACCTGTGCAACATTCCTCAGAATATTTTTTTTCCTACCACAACCATTTGCAATATCAACCCCTCCCCCAACACACACACTCTCTCTCTTTCACACACACACCTCATCTCTCTCTCTCTCTAAAAAAAAGCGGCGTCTTTCATATTTTATGACAACAAAATGTTGCATATACACAGAAAGCGCGTTTGACAGGAGAAAGGGACACACACACACACACAAACACAGGCGCGCGCGCACACGTGGGCCATATTTCCAGGAAACAAAAACAAACACAGACTGAGCTCACCTTGTCGTTTTGATAGGCGGTCACTGCGATGAAGTCCGTTTCAGGGAAAACATAGGTCCGGAAGGTGCTGTACGGCAACTTGAGGATGTCGTTCGCCCTCACGATGTGAAACCGAGGCTGATACTTGTGCATCGAGTTCAGAATGGTCTACACACACACACACACACACAAGCGCGCGCACACACACAGATCCGCAATAAAATACTAAATTAGAAGAGAAATTAATCAAACACAAATGAAAATTACAATTCATGCTGTCAAAATGTAAATAATTAATCTCCTAATTAAAAAAAAAGCAACAATAGGATTACCATATTTATGACATTAAATTTAAAAAAATGACTATTAAAAGACAATGCGCTGAGATTAAAATAGTAATTTGATAAATAGGAAAATGGACATACATTAGTTGAACTTACAAATCCATGCTTGTCGGAGATGTTGTTGGTCAGCTTGAGTTTGTGGAAATTGACCACCTTGGACATCCACTGCTCTCCAGTGGCAGGACTGTCCGGGTGAATGTACATCCTCTTTGGCATTTCGGGGTCAGCTTTCCCCGCCACCATCCAGCGCGAGTTGTGAAACTTGTACCTGCAGTCGTCTGCTGCAACTATATCCATGAGGAGAATGTACTTGGCCTTTTTGTCCAGACCCGTGCACCTCACTTTGAACGGAGGGAACATCCGCCTGTAGATTCAATAAAAATAATAATAATAAAAATTAAGGGTTTTAGAAAGCTTCATTTGAGCAAAATATTTTATTAGATAAAAAAAAAAGGTAAAATGTCCAAATAATCCAATTATTTTCAAGCCACCTCAAACAGTACTGGAATGCTGTTTTGATTTTTATTACCTTTGAAGCCCCACACACACACATACACACACACACACTTTCACATTCTGTCACAGCAGGTTGACGCACACAATGTTCACTTTTAATATATTAAGTTTGGATCAGACGTGCAACATTAGCTCTATTATCCCTGTTAAATTGTTGAAATCGAAGGTTATCGGTGCAGAAAGTTGAATTTTTTTTCCTGCCAAAGTTTGAGGTGTTTGTACTGAACACAACACAATCTCACTCTTCACGCATTAATTCAGACATTATTTCCTGTTGATCAGCACAAAATATTTATTTAAGTGTCCTGATGGCTTGGGCTGGGTTTTAATTATTAGAATGCATGAAGAACATATTTGCATACAATTTGAGGTACTATTATGTGACTTAAATTCTTATAGGAAGCTTAAAGAGCGGTGCGTAAAATGTAAAAAATGATTTTAAAAAGCTGCACTATAAAACTGACTTTCATTATGGATTTAAAAAAATATATACCTTCCGGATTTTGTAATAACCATCTCCGTGCCCTTCTTGTGGAAGAGCTCCCAAAGCTCCTTGGCTTCCAGGTGAACTTTGGGGTCGTCCTCCACCTCCTCCTCGGGCTCCAGAGCCTTCAGGGGCCTGAGGTGGGCGGCCGCAGCCTGGTGGCCCAGGGAGGAGAAGTGCAGGCCGGTGTCGGCTCCCATCAGCTGGTCCATAATCGGCTTCCCCAGGGCTCCCGGGAGAGACAGGGAGCCGCTGGGGGGGAGAGCCAGGGCCGGGAAGAAAGGAGGCTGGTGACCCAGCATTGCACTCATGGCAAATTCCGGACCCCGGTGAGGTATAAACGGATGATATGCCATACTTGATCCCTGTATGACTGGATCTCTCATCAGGAAGTTCATCCAAGTGCAGGCAGCAAATACAGACGACTGGTTGGATTCGAATCAAAGTAAAAACAAAAGCAGAATAAAAACAGCACGGCTGGACTCTGTGCAGGAGCAGTCAATCACAAGAGAAAGGAAGAAGCAAACTCGTCCTCTAGCTCGGCACCAGACATCCAGCACTTTTCGCGACTTGTGGGCAGATCTCTGCAGTCCTGTGAGGAGTTCCCATCAAAGGTCTGAGGAGGAGAAGGCAATAATGACCTCCGCTGATCTTCAGGAGCGCTGCGACCGCCGTGCCGGAGGTTTGACGCGCCTCGGACACCCTGGCTGTTCCGCCGCGGCGCGCTCGGACATGTGGAGTTAAACGGACACGGCTGAGTGAGCTAATTGTCGGCGGCGGCGCATTGTTTCTCCTCTGCTGCTGTTTACAAGGCTCCTGTTAAAACGGGTTCCTTCTTATTGGCTTCAGTCCTGCGCGGCGAAGGGCGACGTGTTGAAATATTTCGATAGCGCCGAATAATCCCCCCCACCCCACCTCTCTCTCTCTCTCTGCCTTTGCTTGCTCGGGACATGCAGAACCGCTCTCGTTCTCTCACACACGCGCACGCACACTTTATTCCTCCTCCTCCTCCTCCTTCTTCTCTCCCTGTCGGACGCGCACACACATTTCAGAGAAGCGCAGAGCAAAGGGAGTCCGCTGCCGGCCAGGGCGCAGGGAGGGAGAAAGAGAAAGAGAGAGAGAGGAGGTAAGGTCCCAGCTCCGTGATTTTCCTAGCGCCTCTGTGGCCCACGGGGCTTCACGCAGTGTGGATGTGTTGCGCGTCGCGAGCTGCAGCGCCGCGTTTGATTGGCTCTTTGACGCGTTCGGACCAATTGGGTGGCGGCGTGGGCGTGGCTCGGGCTGTCAGGCGGAGGGGGGACAGACTTCAGACTTATAAAAAGGTGTTTGGGGGGGGTTGGGGGGTGTGGAACGCAAAAGAGCTTTTTGCCGTGAAACACCGCCGCCCATCGCCTCGGTCGGCGCGTTGTGTGCGCGCGCGTGTGTGTGTGAATATGTCAACATCGTTCCAGAAAGTTGCGCTATCGGTCGGTGTGTGACTGAGGAGCAGCCGAGGCAGCGGTGGTGTGGGTGGTGGTGGTGGGGGGGTGGTGGATCTGCTGCGCTGCTGTTCACTCCCTTCTCTGTCCCCCCCCCCCCCCCCCCCCCACACTCCTATCCATTCCCATCCAGCCTCGTGCCGATTAATCCAAACAACTGAGCTCTTTTGTTTTCATATTTTCTGATACAAACGTTGTTTTTCCAAATCCGTTTAAGGAGCGCAGAAAACTTCTTATTTATTTATTTATTTTATTTTATTTTTTCACATTTCCTCCCCGATGTCAGAGCTGAGGAGCAAAGATGAGCACGGGCTTTGTGATGAGTTCACAAAATGTTTCAAAGAACACTCGAGACTTCCAGAAATGTGTTGATGAAATGTCGTTTGGATCCATTTGTTAAAAACCCACGACGCGCGTTCAACGTCCCTAGTGTTAAAAGTTTTTACTTTTCAAAAGAATAAAAATGAAATTTGTCATGACAGACCTGAAGGAATATGTTAGAATATTTTTAATTTTATTTTATATTGATCTTAATAAAACAAATGCTATACAAGCTGCAATTCTTCAATTTCGACTTGAAATTGGGTTCAAGTTGCCCCAACGCGCGCACCTGGTATTTAATAAAATTAATTTTAAATCAGTACATTTGTTAAATACAACTCGTTTTCCTGGCACAACAGTCTCTGTGAAGAAATATGTTTTTGTTCATGTCCAAACGCAAAGTTTTTGTTTTTTCATCTCTTTTTTTTTTGGACCTGTGTGCTGGACTTCAGCTGTTTTTCCAACCTGGGCAAACAGTAAGTCTCTATTTATTTTATTTTATTATTATTGCCATGAACATGACAAAACGGTTCACAGAACGTGGCTCATTTTTTTCAATTGCAAAGCGTTTAGACAAAAGTTTTCCTCTGAAACTAGATTTTACCCCAAATTCATGCAGTAAACTGGAGCAGTTTCCAGTCAGCCAGCTCTCCAGGATCATGGACCTCAGAGTCCTCAGAGGGGGTGGGAGTTCTTATTAAGGGGCTGCAGGATATGGAGTCATAATGCTCCTTGTTGTATTTTTGCCTCCATCTCTCCAACCTGCATTCTTTTCATGTTTGCACTGTTTAATCATGTGATAAACTTGTTCCCCATGAAACATTATGGAAAAGTATATATGTGCTGTGGAGTTCAGGGCATGAACATGTCAGTTGAAGCCTCAGGGCTCACGGGCTGCGATGGAAACACAACTTGTGCTGATGTCAGGACTGTTCATATACGAGGAAGAGTTCACGCCGGTTCTGTCCATTAAAGCTCAGCTATTTGGAGTCAGATGCCTCTTTCAGCTGAGGCTAGTATAGAGGAAAAACAACTCTTCTTGCACGTGTATTTATGTGTAAGACAGAATCCTGTGTGCACACACTGTTATTGATCTGATGCAGAATACAGATGCAACGCTGCTGAGAAGCTGCATGCAGCACCAAACCGAATGAAAAAATCCTCCCGAGCTGTGAGTGGGGTCACGTCAGTGTCAAATACTTGTGTTTCTTCTTCTTTAAACACTCAGCCCCATTAGAAGCACATTTCAATTTAGTGGAAAGTGTCATCAAATAGGAAGCGGTGTTGACACTATGGCAGCCTCTCAGGCTCTTGTGGGAAAAGCTGGCTTCATTAGCTAAGCAAGTAGAAGATGGTCAATACACTATATAAACTTTTACAGGGTTAGGGCTCCCAGGGACTTGGAGAGGCTATAAAAAGGTCTGAGCTGACGCTGCTGATTGATGAAGCCAACTTTGTCAGCGCTTCTCTTTTGCACATCTCATGCAGACCAAAACCAGAAGGGCTATAGGCAACCTCTGGAAAGAACAGAAAAATGGCTTTGGTTTTAAATAAATGTTTAAGATTCATGAAAAAAACTTGCAGGAATTATCTTCTGATGCTTGCTTTAAACCTGCCTTCTCACTCCTGTTCACCCTTTTTTTTTTGGCTGACCTAATCTGCATAAAAGTCTTTGGTTGTGTGACTTTCATGCCCTGACTGCACACAACAGACACACTGTGTAGGTTCATTAAGCAACGCTTCAAAGACATTCCTGGAATTGATCATGGAGCTGCAAGTGATGTAATGTATGCTGTCCTGTTTATTTGCAGATTGTTAATGATAAGCAAGGACAGACTTGGTGGCACCACTTCTGAATGGTGGAGATTGTCTGGTGAGACTCATCAGCTCTAACGCGACTTGATAGGGAAAGGAAACATCACCAGATTAGTATATTCATTGAATGTAATGAGTCCAAACTTCATTATGTTCAACCCAACATGAAGCGCATGGGTTGGAGGAGGGCGGGTGATGTTCAATTGACAACATAATGACTTTCTAAATGCAAACCATTTTACCTTAAAGATGAAGGTGGAGCTATGGGATCGACCTGCTGAGGTAATATTACTCCGAAGGGGTGCAAACTGTAAACTGCACTTCGCAGAATCGCACGTTTTAGTCAATTGCCTCGAGGAGTGATTAACTCTTTACCTGAGGTCAGTTCAGTTCTAGCTCCCATCAATTCCTGAACTGGCCAGTTATAGCTATTGATGAAATACTATTTTAGTTAATTAGGGGATGCGCTTATTGATGGCAGCGGATTGACTGGAGATTGACAAGAAAATGGTGGTGTGTTCGGGAGACACTTGCTCCACTGGTTTCAGTCGTTCAAACAGAAGGCAGGCCCTTGTTTTGAACTTATTACCATGTAAAAGAGGAATGAAGTAAAAATAAAGCTGGCTTTTTTTTTTAGGTTTCAAGGCAGGAAGATTCATGCAGACTCAAAAGTGTCAGTGTTCTATTTACAGAATCATATTCAGTTAGTAATGGGTGTTTCTGTTTGCTCAGATATATGTTTGCATTGCATTGTTTGACTACTAAAAGCTTTCTAATATTTGTTCCTGCAGAATAACGCCCTGATAGCCGCACTTTGACAACACACCATGCACAGAACTTTCAGCCAGTTCAGCAGGCATGCATCACTTGTGGAGCATAATGCGAGGGATTTGACTGCTCAACCCAATTAACAGCCATCGGGTCTTTTTCTGCAGCTACAATGTGATCGAGATCCTCATGGCGAAAGATGCAGATCGTGTCTCGGAGGCCTTCGTTTGCCTTTACGTGCCACCACTTGCCAACATGGCAGATAAGCATCTTTCCCCCTTGTACTTTCAGAACTGGGAAGTGGACTGGAACTAGTTTTGCATGCTAAAAAGCAAACAATAGCAAATGGGAACCAGAAGAATCCTCAGGTTATTTGTCATCAAGTTAGCACAGTATAAATACATCCCTGCTATGCTCATGAGAGGCATCTGTTTGGGGGGGACTCTTCAAGGTTTTGAATCAAAAAGTGTTTTGGTTAGCGGAGCAGTGAGCAGAGAGGTGCCCTGATGTGGGTTTCTGCTGTCCACCGCTATTGGCATCAACTCTGCGGCTTTGGCTTCACAACCACACAAACTTAGAAGCTTCTGCCACCGAGTCCGACCTCAAGATGCAGAGCTTTTAAAAGCAGGGCGGCAGAAAGCAGCGCATTCCTTCAACAAGGGGAATCTTGGTCTGAGGGGGTTAGGGTGGCTTCTCTCTGGAGGTTAAGTGGGATAAGTGTGTGGCTCATGTCAACCCCACTACCCCCCGATAGTTTCTGGAAAATTTGCAGCGGGGTCAGATTGGATTACTGTGTTTTGGTATTTACATGGAGACACAGGGCTTTGAAATGGAAAACCATAGGCGGAAAAGCAAGTGCCACGCAGTCTGGAGAGTTTGGTTAAAAGAAATCAGCACTCATTTCCACTGACGGGACTGTCCAACATGTGCCTTTTATGTGTTTCTGTTCCACAATCAGACGTTCTGCGACAGAGAATGATGATTGAGGTAAATAGATCAGCCCTTAAATTAAATCCATGGTAAGAACTGTAACAGACGTTTAACAGGGAAGAAGGAGTTTTCAGGCAGTATGGATCGACCACATCATAGCTGTGACTTTAGCTTCAATGGACCTCCTTAAGTAATTCTGCAGCGTGGTTATACTACATAAACTGCTATACCTCATCCCTAAATGACCTTGTAAAAACTAA